CTTCCTGGTATCCTATTACTGTATCAGTGCCTCTGCTCTAAACATACGGCACAGCTAGGTGTGTAGATGAAACACTCCATTCTGTACAGAACACCGGTAAGGGTGTGATATTATTATGTGCTATCAACATACTTAAGTAAGAACTGGTTGCTGCAGATTTTAACCATACTTTAAAACAGTGGGGGGGGGGGGGTTGCGAACGTCAATTCCTTTTCTCTACTAAGGTAAGAGACTTTTCTTTTAAATATATATATATATATATATATATATATTATATATATATATGTGTGTGTGTGTATGGATAAATAAAAAGACAGACTCGATAGATAGATAGACAGATAGAACATATTTAACATTATTATTGGACATTGGAAACGGAAGGAAATCAGTTGTTGTTGAACCAGACACAATCAGCGTTCTCGAACTTGGAAAAGTTTCTACCTCTATTGAAAAGCTCATCAACCAAGTTTTTACCGATTTCGCAGACAATTTGGAAAATTTGCAATGGCTGTCAGAGGGATGTCCCACTTACTACACCACTCATATACCTGTGACTTTGCCATTACTTTCTCCCGGTAAACTGACTTTATTTCAGTGTGTATTTCTATAGGTTCGAGACCTTTTGCGGTCAGAAACCGAAAGACAGACCTCACTTCTACCCTTAACCAATTTTCCAAGGGGGTAGCCATCTTTGGAGAACTGCTATGTTCGTTTGGTTTGTGTGATGCTCATGGTGCTCAGTCGGGAAATTCCTAAATGATTTTTTTTTCAAGTGTGCGTTTACAGAATGTAAAAATATTCAACCGTTTTCAAATTACAGCCAAATTCCGGTGTTCCGTGGGACAGCCCTCGTAGCTCCTTTAAATGAAACCTGTCTCAAAAATTAACAACAAACTCATGGACATGATGTTGTCTACACCCAAAGTCTATCAGTCAAAAATACTGCACTTAACGAGGACAATGCAACCCACTATCCTGTAGAATTCCTGAACTCCACTCAACTGGCTGACCTTCCATCCCATGTTCTGAAATTAAACACTGGTATGCCCGTAATGGTCCTCCGTTCTCTTAACAAACCAAAATTAATTAATGGTACAAGATGTATTGTAACACAAACCATGCCAAACGTCGTCGAGGTTGAAATTTTTTGTTGACCATACAAGAATGAAAAACCCTGGATTCCTTGAATTATACTCCAACCAACAGACAGTGCTCTGCCTTTTCTATTCCAACGAAAAAAAATTCCCCACAGACCATTGTTTTACCATTACAATTAATAAAACTCAGGGATAGTCTCTTCGTACAGTTGACCTAGATCTCACATGCACCGTATTTCTAAACGTAATTTTGTATCTAACCATGTCTCGAACTGGAGATATAGATTCTGCTCACATCTTGGCACCCAACAGTCGAACCAGAAATGTTGTATATCAAGAGGTTTGGGACAATATTATACATCAGTCTTAGGTGAGTTTCACTTTTGAAAATTCATTTTTTTTTTCAGGAAAGAATAGAACCATCCTGTTTTAATAATCAAACAACTGTTAGATTACTGCTGGGTCATTCTGAAACATGTCATGGACTCAGTGTTCTGAGGGAAAAGGTGTTAGGAAAAGGCTCAAATTAATAGTTTCCAGGATGAGACTGTATCTATATATTAGTATGTGTATGTATGGATGTATGTATTTGCGGTGGATGGATGGATGGATGGATGGATGGATGGATGGATGGATGGATGGATGGGTGGATGGATGGATGGATGGATGGATGGATGGATGGATGGATGAAAGGATGAATGGATGGATTGATGGATGGCAGATGAAGGGTCAATGGCTAGTTCCCCATACCTTGATAGACAAGAACAAATCAGGATTTGACACTGAAAGGGTTAATGTCCTTTTTCATTCCCCTTGATAGACAACAGAACATGATTTGGCAGTTTATAGCTTTTACATGCACTTTAACAAAGAGCAATATTAGATGATTTGGTAGTGGAAGGGTTAATGGCTTATTCCATACACTTTAACAAATAAAAGCAGAACTAGATTTTGCAGTGAAAGGGTTAAAGGCTTATTCCGTAAACATTGATAGACGAAAAATGAACAGGATTTAGAAAGAGATAGGGGAGTGATATTGCTCTAAGAACTCCAGGAGAAGGAATGCGGAGACGAAACTGTTCGTAATTCTGTACCTTTGGTTTGAGCCAGAGATTCCAGGGGCCTCGCGTGGACAATTGCTGATCGGGCTATTGAAACCAGTGTAGTAGTTAGATCGAAAAACACCTATCACAGAATGAGGCCTTGTTTTGGGGTTAGGACCCTTTTACAGCGTGTAGACGACACATTATAACTATTACTGATGTCTGTGGTGTAGCGGGTAGGTACTTTGCCGTCACACACAGAAGACGCGAGTTCGAATCTCGTGTTGGGAGATCTTATAAAGTGTATTAAGTGTATTATTTAAAAGTCATTGGAAACAAATATTAAACAAAAAACATTGACATGCTCGGAAACAAGATTTATTGTATTTGCTGCGTTGATTGCGCACATATTTGAATCGTTTAAGCAACAAACAAAAGACAGGTACGTGTCAATAAAGAGTCGGGAAAGAGGTCTTGTGTTCGGAGGAAAAACATTTTCAAGTGCACATAGCAACCCAACAAAACAAACACCACATCCCGATTTACTACAAGTCGCTTATTAAACGTATGAAGACTCCCGGGGCAAAAGAGAATGGTCACAATTTTGCAGTTTCGGCATTGTTTGACTTGATCAATTCTTACTGTGTTTTTTAAATATTTTGTTTGTACATTTTCTTTTTATCTCAAAGAGCCGCATTCACACATTGGTGATATGTTTTAAAGCAGCCGTCAATCCGGTTTGCTTCTTCTTTCCTGTCAAACATCTATCGTCATTGTCTTTTTCTCCTTCTATTCTGTGTATGTTACCCTCCATTAACAATTCTGATTCAGAACGTATATGACTTAATTGTGTAGCAAGCTTTGCTCCTAAAATATTACTAAAGTTAAACTAAATCAAGGGATCTCGAGGAATAGAAAAGCAACTACTGTCCACAATTTAATCTCTTTGACAACTGCCCTTTTTACTGCAGTCTTCAAACACGAACTGCAGACCCATTCTATTCTCCTTTCTTATTCAGTAACAATTGTTTTCCAAGCGGCCCTTGAAAAGTCATTGGAAACAAGTTACTACTTTATGGAGATAGCATGTTCTTGGAAGAATTCAACTGATTCAGTTTTTTTATATTTTAAACGGGTTGAAAAAGGGTGCAAAATATGATCATGGACACTAGGTCAACTTGTTTTCAGTTTGTGCACCCACAAAAATAAAATAAAATAAAATAAAATAACAGCAGTATTGATCAAAATATTCATTTAGAAGGAAAGAAAGAACAAAAGAACGAAAGAAAGAAAGAAAGAAAGAAAGAAAGAAAGAAAGAAAGAAAGAAACCCAAGTCCCCACCTGCTCCACTGACACTTTCGTACCAAACTCCCAGATTATAAGCTAACACAGTTTCACCGAAAGTAACACATTTAGCGCTGATGTCACCCTTTGACGTAGTGGGACTGTAGAGCCGTGACATCACACGTGGCCGCTGTGACGTAGGGAGCGGTCAGCCGGAGCAAGAGTAGCGCAAAGATCCATTGACCAGATTACACGTGCACTGCTCGTACCGATGACCGCTGATGACCAGTGGGAAGGTAGTGCCAGGGTCCTGACAGATGTTGTCCGCGTCTTTGCAGCCTTT